CGTGCAGATGCCTCGGGCGTTAGTGTTACAGTGTGCCGCTGATCCGTGCGAGTTTTTGCCTCTTTCGAGACATCGTTAGTTTTTATTCACTGAAAGCAATAGAGCACCTCAGCATCTGAAAAAAAAAAGTCAGATGGGCGTAACTGTAAATTACACGATTTACTCGAGTACCACGCGCCCTCGAATAAGACGCGCACCACGGGGTTTCAGTCAAAACGTTTTAAAATAAAATTCTTTTCGCGAGTAAAAGACGCGCGCCATATTTTCATGGGTTCTAAAACTGCAAGTTTTCAAAAATAATTACACCCAGAGTTGGATTTATACATGATTTGTTTCTGAATTCAACTAATTTTCAATTATGTCCATTGAAATAAGTTTTTCTATAAAAATTGGTCCAAAATATTTCAATGTAGAATCAAATACAATAATGCGCCCCTAAATTTCTAAAACTTTAAAATAGTTTTACCGGTCCATGACGAGCTCCCTGCTCTTTTTCCCTCTCAATTTTGGAAAAAAAAGGTTTGCATGGCACTTGAGTAAATACGGTACTCATATTTTTCTCCTTTCTCGAATGGCTTTTTCTGGTTTATATATAAGCAACCATCATGAGTGAAAACGGAAAATTCAAGTCCTAATTTATAAAGAGAAAGTTTTCAGATTCTGGCGAAACAAAGAATTATTATTTTTTATCCTGATGCAACGATAAATAAATGGGAGATCTTTCTGAAAATAGAGCAATACGTGGCAGTCGATCTCATCAGATCGAAAGAAATTTGCCTTCAAACCCACTCAAGATGTAATTTTCATTCCAGTTTCCACATTGTTTTTCAGAATTTCGTAAAACCTGAGATAAGCCAGAAAGTTTTTCGCCAGAATGCCGTTCAGCGATACTTTGAAGCTACATAATGGCAAGGAAATGCCGATCCTGGGTATTGGAACTTGGCAGGTGAGAATTTTTCAGAATTTATTAATGCCAAATGGGACGTAACCGTAATTTTTCAGTGGTGAAAATAGGTGTTACTGTAGATACAATACTGCATTTCCTGACCTACGGTTACTTCATTACCTGCGCGGGGAAAAAAATAAATCAGTCCATAATGAGGAATATTCGAGTTTAAAAAGGGGGAAATGCTCGTTTTTGAGACAAATAATGCAAAATGAACGCGAAATTTGAAAAAAAATTCGATGATGGACGACAGTTTTAAATTTTTTTCGAAGAATGGCGAAGAGTAATGTGATTGGCCGTGTTTTTCCAATTTTACGCATGCTTCGTGGTTTTGAAATCTGTTGGGAAAGCAATTCTGATTGAAGATGAGTTTCAATTTAGCCATTGCCCTATTTCTATAATTTCTGATATTTCGTTTTATTCCTATTCATCGAAATTCCGTTATTCTGGAGCAAAATTTTAAAATTTTAAAATCTCCAAGCCGAAGTTTTGCACTTTATGCCAAAACACGAAAATCAGCCACTGTTCGAACACCAATAACCCAATTATCGTGGAACGATGCATTCCTATAGAACTATGTAGAGTCATATCAAGCAACACTATTTTTCCTCGTGAAAAATGTTGCTTGTACTGTACATTGATTGTATGAAATTTCTCCAATTACTGTAATAGGGTAAAGCCGAGGAACTGGAACGTGCTTTGGATGCCGCCCTGGAAGTCGGCTATCGTCACATCGACACTGCATTCAATTATCAGAACGAAGACGTCATCGGGAAGGTGCTGAATAAATGGATCAGCTCAGGGAAAATAAAGCGAGAGGAACTCTTCATCGTGACGAAGGTGAAAAAAAATTCCTTCATTAGTTTGTCTGAAATAATCGTCTGAAATTTTTATCTTTTTTCTTTCTTAAACCTTGCAGTTGCCGATGATTGGAATGACGAGAGAAGGCCCGAAAAAATTCCTCGAAAAATCACTGAAAGCTCTTCAACTTGACTACGTTGATCTGTACTTGGTTCATGCAC